TTTTGTGGTAAAATTAGGTGCCTCGGCTTATATTCGGGTCGGCCTATACTCAAGTATATACGGTACCATTTCACAGTGCTTTTACAGCCCTCTCTAAGCGGTTTACAGGGTCAGCATATTTTCCCCAACAATCTGGGTCCTCATTTTACCGACCTTGGAAGGACGGAAGGCTGAGTTAACCTTGTGTCAGTCAGGATCGAACTGCTGGCAGTGGGCAGAGTCAGTCTGCAACATTGCCTTGTAACCACTGCGCATGATGGATAGGGATAGGGATAGGGAAGGAAAAAAGGGAAGGAAGGAAGGAAGGAAGGAAGGAAGGAAGGAAGGAAGGAAGGAAGGAAGGAAGGAAGGAAGGAAGGAAGGGCAATAGCAATAGCACTTAAACTTACATACTGCTTCATAATACTTTCCAGTCCTCTCTAAACATTTTACAGAGTCAGTCTATTCCCCCAACAATCTGGGGGAACCAACCTCGGAAGGATGGAAGTCCGAGTCAACCATGAGCCAATGGGACTTGAACTGCCAAACTGCTGGCAGTCAGCAGAAGTAGCCTGCAGTACTGCACTCTAACCTCTGCACCACCACGGCTCTTATGAGCAAATCCTATGCGGAAATGGCACATCGTGAATGAAAACTACAGTTTTAAAGGATGACATGATTAGACCTTCCAGTAAAAGCACTTACATCTAGTCCTCAACGTATAGCCTATTCATTTAGTGACCATTCAAAGGTACAATAGCACGAAGAAAGGAACTTCTGACTGCTTTTCACTCTTAAAAACATTGCAGCAGCCCCATGGTTACGTGATCAGAATTCAGACGTTTGACAACTGGTTTATGTTTATGATGGTTGCACCGTCCCAGGGTCACACGAGCACCTTTTGCAATGGTGAAGCAAAGTCAATGGGGAAGCCAGATTTACTTACCAGCCATGGCACTAACTCAACCACTGCAGTGATTCACTTAACAGCAGTGGCAACCAAGATTGTAAAATGGGGCAAAAGCTCGACAAACATCTCAATTAGCAACAGAAATCTTGGGCTCAGTTGTTGTCGTAAGGGCTGCCTGTGTCAGTTTTAAAATTCAAGTTGCGTGCAGGGAAAAAAAGTCTTGATCTGGAACGAGATGCAGTAAGAATGACGTTTTCAGGCCATTCAGAAGCACTTCTCTTTATCCAGTGAAGCATTTAACAACCCATTTGGCAGCTCTGGAATGAATCACAGGATTTAACGGTGGCTCCAAAACGGGCCTCTCTCCTGGCTTTTGATCTCCCTCTTTCTCCCTCTTAAAATCACGCGCAGCATCTTGCACCAAAACTTGAAACTCCTCCTGCGAGGGAGGGAAGCACCGTGTCCTTGGAACATGTTCTGACTGAGGCTTTCCAAGAGCATGAAGCAAACTGCTTGTCCTGACCCTTTTATTAATTTCCTGTGAATTCTGCTCATTCACATCCAGCAAAGTATTTCAAGGGAGGATTTACAGTCACAGACCTTATCTGGCTTGGAGATCTGACAGGCTGATATCTGCAGAACTTGGCAAGGAGTCTTGGAGAGTCAAGAACCAATTAAGCAAAATAATTGTCTCCTGCAAACTCCACTCCCCTTTTGTTCCTCTTTTATTTCCTCTGAGAGGGGCCATTCATCATCTGGCCTTACTCCCGCCCTGGGTAGGTCTCTTCTGAGCCTCTTATTCCACCCACAATCTAGCTGTTGTCTCTTATTTGACAGTTCTTTTCACCTGGTCTCCCAAGGGCTTCTTTACATACTATTACAGGCACAAAGCCCCATATTTTATTCTCCCTAATAGCAGAAACCCAACGTGGCTTTCACAAAGGACAAACCAATTAATCTTTTTTTTAAAGTGATTTTCATATTGCTTCCATCTTCCACATTATTAGAGCATTCCCCCACAAATAAATTGTCCCTAATGAATTACTCAGATTATTCAGAATCAGAACAGAGCTGGAAGGGACCTTGAGATCTTCTCATCCAGTCCTCTGCTCAAGCAGGAAATCCTATACCCCTGATGGAGAACCTATGCCATGCCTGCCACAGGTGGCACGCGGAGCCATTTGTGAGAGCATGTGAGGCGTTGCCCTGTCAGCTCCAGCGTGCATGCGCACCCTGTCCAGCTGACTTTGGCCTTCATTTGAGGCCATTTTTTACTCTCCGGAGAGGAGGAGGAGGAGGAGGCTTCCCTGAAGACTCCGGAGGGCTAATACCGGCCCTACAAGCAAACCGGAAATCCATTCCCGAACTTCCAGTTTGCCCTTAGGGCCAGTTTTTCGTGCTCCAGAGGCTTCAGGGAAGCTCCGGAGAGCCTCCAGGGGGGCGGGAGAGGTTGTTTTAACCCTCCCTAGGCTCCTAGAAAGCCTCTGGAGCCTGGGGAGGGCGAAAAAAGTGTGCCAAAAATGGGGGGAGCGCTGGCCGTGCACATGCATGCTGGGGTCATGCGCATAGCATTATGGGTGTGGCACGCCCGCACACGACCCCACTGCGCTTCCCCCGCTTTTGGCACACGAGCCAAAAAAAGATTCACCATCACTGTCCTATACCATTTCAGACAAGTGGCTGTCCAGTCTCTTCTTGAAAACCTCCAGCGATGAAGCACCCACAACTTCTGAAGGCAACTTCTGTTCCAGTGGTTAACTGTCCTCTCTGTTAGGAAGTTTCTCCTCAATTCCAGGTTGCTTCTCTTCTAGATTAGTTTCCATCCACTGTTTCTTATCCTGCCCTCTGGTGTTTTGGAAATATTCTTGTAGCTTTTATGCCCCTACCACACCAGGTCCATTTCCCCCATATCTCTCTCTGTCCTGGAAATCTCTTCTCTCCATGCACGCACTTGTGGGAGCACCCCGATAACCCACTCTGCTCCTAGACACACCCATGCGCCTTCCCCACGTTTGCCTCCCTCCTTCCAAGACCCTTTCTTTCTTCCTCCAGCCCAGCAGTCTCACAAGCTGAATCCTCGGCTGCTCTTTCTGCACCCCAAAGTTTCAAAGCCCCTCGCCAGGAGCTGCATGGTCTTCCTTAGTCGTCATCCCCCACAACAGTTTTAACAGATGCCTACTTATTATTATTTTTTCTGTAGGAGATAAGCCATAAGCATACGGGGATGATCTATTATGTAGCCTTAAGCGAAGGCTTAGCAACTTCAAAATGTGTGTATTTCAACTCCCAGAATTCCCCAGCCAGCCAATTGCCAAGGTTGAGAATCCCAAGGGTAAGTTAATAGCTGAAATAATTAAAAGGATTGGTGGTGTACACTGATAGACTACAGGTCCTCCTGAATTTACGACCGTAATTGAGACCAAAATACCTTGTTGTTAAGCAAGGCAGTTGTTAGGTGAGCTTTGCCCCATTTTACAACTTTTCTTGCCACAGTCGTTAAGTTACTAACACGGTTGTTAAATGAATCTGGCTTCCTCATCGACTTTGCTTGTCAAAATGACATAAAAGGTGATTACATGACCCCTGGGACACTACGACTGTCATAAATATGAGCCAGTTGTCCAGCGTCCAAATTTTGATCACTAGGAATCAAGTGCAAAAAACAGTCCTAAGGAGTTTTTTATTAGCACCATAATAACTTTGAACGGTCACTAAGTGAAGGGTCACTAAATAAAGGGATGCGGGGGCTCAGTGGCTAAGACGCTGAGCTTGTGGATCAGAAAGGTGCGCAGTTCGGTGGTTTGAATCCCTAGCGCCGTGTAATGGAGTGAGCTCCCATTACTTGTCCCAGCTTTTACATGTTTTGAAAATGTAAAAATGCAAGTAGAGAAATAGGAACCATCTTTGGTGGGAAGGTAATAGTGTTCTCTGCACCTTCGGCATTGAGTCATGTTGGCCACATGACCAGGGAGATGTCTTCGGACAGAGCTGGCTCTTCGGCTTTGAAACAGAGATGAGCACCGCCCCCTAAAGTAGGGAATGACTAGCACATATGTGTGAGGGGAACTTTTACCTTTTCTTAAATGAAGGGTAAGTCAAGGACTACCTGTTCTGTACATTATTTTTGCACATTTTTTTAAAGGGAAATTACTGTTAATTAAGAGTAAGAATTGATTTACTTACTGCGTCCTCCCATCCCGTTCCATTCGCATACTCAAAGGGCCTTTCCTCTTGCTCATTTACACTATTGCTGATGCTCAGAAGGGTGTAAATCTGATTCCTCTCCCGCCTCTCATTGGGATAGACACAGCGAATCTCTGTTTCCGCATTTCTCGGCTTGGTCGTGGCTTTGTCAGAGTTGATTTCACTTTGGTTCTGTCCAGAGGAATTCATAGCAGTTGCTGTCACTGCTGGTTGCGCGCCTTCTGCCTGCAGGTGAAAGACAGCAGGTTTTACATCAGCATAAACTCTCAACGGATGTCAAAAAAAAAAGTTTGGTGTTTTAATTGACTGGGTTTCTTTGATGCGGTAATGCATAGATAGTTCGCTAACCTTTGTAAGTAACATTTTACTCCGACTTAATAGCCTTATTTGAGCTCATCCATGCATTAAATAAGATTTATTTAACACAGCCTCCTATTCTTGTGTTTCATCTCAAGAAAAACGCACTTAGCAGAATTAATCTTCACAGAGAGCTGTGAAAATATCTACAGACCCTTCATATCCTTGTTTCAGCTTCTACCCTCAAAACTACGTTATAGGGCATTGCACACTAGAACAACTAGGCACAAGGATGGTGTTTTCCCCCATGCCATCATTCTTCTAAACAACTAATTCTCATAACACTCAAACTATTTTCTAAGACTGTATTACTATTCTTCTCATCCTTCCTATTACCTATTTCCTTTTCTACTTATGACTATAACTTTGTTGCTTGTACCTTTACGATTTATATTGTTTTATTAAGTTTCCTAGTATGATTTACGTTGATCGCTTATTTAGTATCTTATGACTATCACTAAGTGTTAAATTTCATGATTCATGATGAATGTATTTATGATGGCTATGATCATGATTTATCACTATATCTTTTATGTACACTATGATCATGATTTATCACTATATCTTTTATGTACACTATGATCATGATTTATCACTATATCTTTTATGTACACTGAGAG